CGAAATGGAGACAAGCCCGTGGCCCTGCTCATAGCCGAATTGTGAGCAAATTCAGCATGGCTCAGCTTCTGATCCCAACGGCGGATGTTATCTCCCACCAAACAACGCAACAAATTGCCCAAAGAACGATTCACGACCTCAGTCTGACCGTCGGTTTGCGGATGATAGGCACTGCTGAAATCCAGACGAGTGTTGGCCATACGCCAAAGGCTACGCCAGAAATGGCTCAGAAAGCGAGTGTCCCGGTCCGAGACGATCGACGAAGGAAGGCCGTGTAATCGATAAACCTCGCGAAAAAAAAGCTGAGCCACATGAACAGCGTCGGTAGGACGCTTGCACGGAATAAAATGCACCATTTTAGAAAAACGATCGACCACGACAAAAATCGAATCGAAACCCCGCTAAGTACGCGGTAATCCCAACACAAAATCCATACTAACCGCCAGCCAAGGAAGAGAAGGAATGGGAAGAGGCCGGTACAACCAAGCATTAGAAGATGTACCCTTAGACACCTGACAAATCCGACAACGCGACACGAACCGGGCGACATCACGTCGGAGAGAAGGCCAAAAATAGGCACGGCGCAGCAACTCGACGGAACGGTCACGGCCCACGTGACCGGCACCATGGAGATCGGCGATAAGCTTCTGTCGCAGGCTGCAGTCCGGGACACAAAGCCGAACACCACGAAATAAAAACCCGTCCTGGAGAAGGTAATCCTCAAAAGGACCAGTCGCAAGGCTTCGCACAATTGGACCGAAAAAAGAATCATCAACATAAGCAGCACGAAATACCTCAAACCCGACGACAGAGACACGCATGTCCGTCAAAAGCAACGCACGACGGCTTAGGGCATCAGCCACCCTATTTGATGTACCGGACCGATGTTTCAGAACAAACGTGAATTGCTGCAAGAAGGCAGTCCACGCTGCATGTCGAGAAGAAATATTGTCCTGGGAAGCCAAGTGTCGCAACGCCTCGTGATCAGTATACAAAACAAATTCCCGGTGAAAAAGATAATGCCGCCAATGACGCACCGCACGAACAACTGCATAGAACTCAACATCGTAGGCACTGTACCTCGAACGAGGGCCGGACAGTTTCTCACTAAAGAAAGACACAGGGCGACCGTCCTGACTAAGCACAGCTCCAATGCCCACCTTCGAGGCATCACAAGAAAGCTCAAAAGGACGATCAAAATCGGGTAATACCAGCACAGGGGCGGAAGTGAGCTTACGTTTGATGAGAACAAAAGCTTCCTCGGCAGCTGGGGTCCAAATAAAGGTCTTCCCCGTCAGACAATCCGTAATCGGTGCTGCCAGCGAACTGAAGTGTGAAATAAACCGACGGTAAAAGGAGGCCAAACCGTGAAAACTACGAGCCTCGGTAAAAGAAGTAGGTGTCGGCCACTCTCGAATGGCCGCCACTTTGGTGTCATCCACGCGAATGCCGTCGGCCGAGATCACAAAACCCAAAAAAAGCACAGAGTCCACCATAAACAAACATTTCCGGGGTGCTGCAAAAAGAGATTCGGCCCGAAGAATAACCAACACCGAACGAATATGCTGCAAGTGATCCTCCACCGTACGACTATAGATAAGAATATCATCGAAATAAACGACGACACACTTACCAATGAGCTCCCGCAAGGCCTGATTCATCACCCGCATGAAAGTACTGGGAGCATTAGACAACCCAAACGGCATGACCATCCATTCAAAGAGTCCCTCCCGAATCTTAAAAGCAGTCTTCCACTCATCGCCCGGGCGTATTCTAATCTGGTGATATCCACTGCGAAGGTCCAACTTCGTGAAAATGGTTGCACCGTGAAGCTGGTCCAACAAATCATCAAGACGAGGGATAGGGAACCGATAACGGATAGTAATTTTATTGACCGCCCGACTATCAACACACATGCGCCACGACCCATCCTTCTTGGGAATAAGGAGGGCAGGGACCGCGCACGGGCTCAAGCTCCGCCGCACCACTCCACGCTGGAGAAGGTCCTCAACCTGTCGTCTCAACTCCTCGTGCTCAGCAGGACTCATCCGGTAATGGGGTCTGTTTGGTAGAGAGGCTCCCGGCATCAAATCGATATGGTGTTGTATGTCTCGTAAAGGTGGTAAACCAGCTGGGACCTCTTCGGGAAAGACATCAGAAAACTCGGATAGTAAAGGTCGAATAGCAATCGGGGGCTCATTGTTATCAACAGGATCTGCCCCGAACAACAATAAAATAACTGGTGCCACACGCATTTCATCCTCAAAGGCTGACCTGGAAAGAAGAAGAACCGGAGAAGACACGGCTGCTGTAGGCAAAGGGCGAGGCGGTCCCGGATGTAAAACGACCTTAACTCCATCAAAAAGAAAACTGTACGTGTTAAGCCGACCGTCATGCTGCGCGGCACGGTCGAACTGCCAAGGACGACCCAAAAGTAAATGACAAGCATCCATAGGAATGACATCGCACCAAATCTGATCGCGATATCGTTGCCCGATAGAGAACGAAACCAACACGCGACGATCCACCGTGACTGCCGTACCCTTTTGAATCCAAGCAAGCGTATATGGTTGGGGATGAGGTTCCGTCGAAAGCCCGAGCTTCTCCACCGCGTCCTGAGCGAAAACATTTTCACACGACCCGGAGTCGATAATGAATCGGCACACCCGATCACCGACTGTGCATGTTGATTCGAAAAGATTATGTCGCTCAACCGGTTTGTGCTCGTCCCGCGGTGCCAAACAAGAACGACGAATAACAAGGGCCCGTCCCACGTCGCCTGTGAGGTGTTCTTCGACGGGTTCAGGCTCCACGTCGAAAACGGGTGGCCCGTCATACACATCCTCCACTCCTTGCCACTCCGTCCCGTCGGCCAGTAAATTACGAGAGCTC